CAGCTTGATTGGATATACTATGGTTGAGAACCTGGGGCGACTCTCAACTTTTTTTTTGTTAAAAAACAGTGAAAAAAAAAGTGAGTTTTGATGTTTTTCTGACTGGTATATTAATATGTTAATTCTTGAAATATGTCCAGTTGATAAGGGGCACATCGAAGCGTATACAGAACAGCAAAAAACAAACATTGAAAAATTTTCAGTTCGCGAAAGGAAGTGAAGGAGTCGTCTTAAGTTGAAATTCCAACATTCTTACTTGCTTTCAATAACTTTATAAGTGACACGGAGAAATCATTTTTATCATAATGAAATGACATAAAAATCTCAATTTCTATATGATGTTCTCCATACAAGTGTTCCGGGGTACAACAATATTTTTTATTAGTTAATAGGAAATGTTCTTCTCTTAGTCGCATGTAAAATTATATGCGAAGAAGTGTAACTACAAAATGAGTTCATACTTTTTCTATAATGTGACAAACACGTCTAGAAACAAGAATTCCTTTATCAGGCGATAGAATTTTTTTCTCTGTCGAAGTTCATATAATTTATTTTTAGAATACATACATAAATAGAATGATGCAAGAAAAAAAGAAGAAAGCACGCATATAGTAATTTAGAAATTTTAATATTGATTTATCAAAATATTTTCCTAAAATGGCACGTAATTATTTTACGAAATTGCTTTAAATAATTTCATTAAAAAATAGAATCAACTTATGTATTATAAGAACTTTTGATAAGGTTACAAATAGTAAGTTAACTACCATCTCTAAAGTCTTTTTAATATCTTTATTTTATTGTGAAAAAAGTGTCAACAATTTATGTTGCATGTTATTTTTACCTGTACAATTGTTCTTCTTCAATTTAATTACAATTGATTCTACATTCAAAGTCGGACAATATTAGATATCTATATTCTAGAGAATAGTTTTCTTATGATAACATAAACTGTTGGGAGATGTTTGAGACGTTAATTCATAATATAATTTGGCTCATATATTTTCAACATTCCACATAATTTTAAGATAAAGAATTTTTAATATCTATTACAAATAAATAAAAATATAGAATTCATTATGATATTTTATGTATATTATCAAATCTAAGTAGGATAGCTTTTTAGAAATAGCTATTGCGTGTCTAAATAAATAACATTTAATGTCAACTAAAATATGAATCAACAAAAAAATATAAATTATTTTTGAATACTTTAATAAACCGTGAAGGTAAATAATAGAACAAGTCCAAAGCACTTTAGTCGATAATTGATTTTTTGATAAATCAATATCATTGATTCTTATCTAAGTAGGCATGAAAAATAAAACAACAAGAAGAATAAAACATTATTGACGATTGGTGTTAATTTCGATGAATGAATAATTGATTTGCTGACTCATGAGTGAATTATATGAAAATGTGATTTTTAAAAAAACTGTAGATGAGACTTTTTTTTGTTATATGATACTTGTTGATGAACATAGTTGACGATAAAATTAGTCACCTCACTTTTTTTTCAAGGATTTTTTTTACTATTTCATTATAATAATGGAAAAATGGAAAATAGATGGCGTTATATTTTTCAACAGTTTTAAGTTTTTTTCAACCTCAAACAACTATCGAAATTCAAAGAAAATATAAGTTTTTAATAAAAAATTGATAGTTCTATTACATGACTATTGCAAATAATTTTTAAAAGATCAGATTATTAGTATCTTGGCAATAGATGGCGGTGTCTACTAGAATTTAACATGTGATACTACAAAATATTTTGTTCAAATATATCATGACAAGGTACATATGATTCTATTTATTCCTGACTATTTGAAGTTACCCAATAATAAGACTGTAACAGCTTACAGTTCTATGAACCGATTCTTTTTCTAAGAATTTGGTTTAATGACCAGTTCTGCTCATATCTATTGATAATGGTAACGTAGTAATTCTATTCAGTAAATGTTTTAATTATCAAAAGAGAACAGATTCATAGAAGTGGGAACTATCACATGTCTAGAACTGATCTATTTGAGTCAAGGGGAAAAAGTACAACTAAAGAAAACCATGAGAAATTAAATAGCATCAATGTTAATACTTTCTGCTAGTTTCAATGATACGAGAAAGTCAATCACTTGCTAAACGACTGGGTGCATCAGTTAAGAGCCAACATGGTGATTGTTTATGTAAATATCGATAATTCTTAATAATTTTGATTTTTGATTTTCGTATTTGTTTTCATCGTCAAACTCTGACAATTGTTGATTATCTTCGTTTTCTTCTTCCATAATATTATTATAACATTCTGTATCTAATTCCGAACCACGTATGACAAAGAAAGATTGATTATATTATTTTGTCATTTCTTGAATAAAAGAAATACACAAAACTATGTAGGAGCCAGTGCATATATGGACAATTATCAAGAAGTTCAAAGAAGTACGGAGAAATATGAAGAAGTATGCTTTTTCTTCTTGGAAATAATATAATGTTTCTTCGCTGCGAACATCTTAGTGCAAAAAAATAATAGTAAAAAAAAGCGCTAGTGCTTCGTCTTCTACTATAAATGGTGCTTTCATTGTTTGTTTATCATTTTTTTTAATGAAAACTGATATTATAAAAAGGAACTGATTGTATTTCTCTTTTATTTCTTGAGTAAAAGAAATACCCAAAACTATATAGGAGAAATATGCATGTCGAGAAGTGTGAAGGAGTATGAAGAAGTATAGGAGAATATGGAGAAGTATTAAGAACTACAGAAGTATACTTTTAGTCCCTTTGTTTGAACAGTTCAGCTCTTTTGAAAAGAACTAGTTTCCAGTTCTAGTTTCTCGATCAGTGAACTGCAATAATTCGATCAAATCCTACCAGACTCATCGTAAATCATTCAAATCGCTGTTATTTTCTACAAAAACGAACAAGAAAAAGATGCTAAATATCGACCAATTAAATAAAAAACAAACAAACCATTGAGATCGAATTTCACCAAGTAAATACAAAAAAAAAATTATGAACAAAATGAATATATGATCAGTGAATCTGTGCTCATTTATTTCTAGAATATCTAATTGAGATAACAATTAGTTCTAAAGTTCTTTAAAATGGACTTGATAATTATGAATTGAACTAAAATGCAGTATAATTTTTTTCATGAACATTTATTAAAATTTAATTATATTTCATAGTACAGAACAAAAATATTCAAAACGTCTTTTATTTTATTAGTAAATGTTTATAGTATTACACAGCATCCTTTTTCGGCTTCATGACATTGCGGACAAAATCCATAGCCTGGTCCACGTGCATTATAACATTGTAAGCAGATAATTTTTTGACATCGATAACATTTATGATCACCGATAACTGTTGGATGATATGTACATGTTAATACATTGACATTATTTGCTGTTGTTTGATAGTTAGTTGAATTTGTAGTATCCATTATTTATTTGAAAATTTCTCTAACATAAATTGAGTTTCATGATATTTTAACTCAAATATTTATAATGTGAGCTCACAAAAAGATAAGAACAACAGAATATGACTTAACAATATTTGTAGATTGTGAAATTTGTGCTTTTTTTTTGTCGACCAAATACACTTTAATATACTAATGGGATTATAGAAGACTCAGTCAGATTGAGTAAAGATTAGTATTGTCTCAAAAATATGTAAAAAATAAATGTTAAACATGAATAAAGATGATACATATGAGGTTATAACTTTTTAGAAACAGCATAACCTTGACAATAGTTTGTAATAGTGCATTATCATTATGATGTTAAGTGTATATAAAGTGCAAATGTAGAGTTAACAAAAGTTCTATATATATTACGATAATATTATTTTGGTTTGGTGACATCTAATTAAATACTGAGGATATTTTTCATGCAAATTGCAGAAAAATTGAACAATAAAGTCAAGAATCATCAAAACAAAAACTCATTAAGAGTGACAAATTCTCTATCATTTACTAGAATTGATTCA